TTTAGAAGGCAAAATTAACACGTTGAGTACCGTGTGGATTGTCACATGCGTAACAGACGTTGCTTGGGTTGTTCTGCCGTACCGACGAGCCGAACAATACATCGGTATTCCCGATAGACCAGCACGTCCAAAAACGCGAGGTCTTAGCCGGCACGAAAATTACTTTACGACACCCAAAAACTCGACGCCTCTCGTACCTGAACACCACATGACCTAAGATCATAAACAGACCTTCGATAAGCAATATAACAAATGTAAGAACAAATTCCCCACTTTCACACCACCACCAGACACATCCCAAACACACCGAAACAACCAATCACCACACACTGCCACCTCTTATGACAGCTTCACACCACCAATCACAACACACACGTAGTTTATAAAATAGCGAACACCACACGACACGACGCACAACTTTCCGATCAGTAACCTTAGCAATTTCGCGCTCTGTTCACGTTCATTTACAAATACATAGTTTTAACAGCAAACTGTTGTGCGTTAATAGTCAACCTTCCGAGCACTACCTGAGTCCCCTATCCCGAGTAGATTCCTTAAATGGTCTGACTCAAAAATGCACAACTTTCCGATCAGTAACCTTAGCAATTTCGCGCTCTGTTCACGTTCATTTACAAATACATAGTATTAACAGCAAACTGTTGTGCGTTAATAGTCAACCTTCCGAGCACTATCTGAGTCCCCTATCCCGAGTAGATTCCTTAAATGGTCTGACTCAAAAAGAGGGACAATTATCGGTTTCGCAACAAGCACCTTGCGATTCGTAACAAGATCATGTTTCATAATATCATTTGTCTGGTACATGATTATCATGTGCCGTGCAATCGATATACCATGCGCCATCGATAGAACCTTTTCAATTCATTAAGTGACGTGCAACTATTGAAAAATAATATACAGGGTATCTCAGTTTTTTCCAATCAAACTTTGTCAGTATGTTGTACGGACATAAGAAAGAACATGTTATATAAACATAGGTCCTTTGAAGTTTTATTAAAATGTTATAACAGATACGAAGTACGAAGGGAACCGCAACGAATGCGCGGATATTACGATACAAAATAAGAATAGATCAGCGATAGGTAAATACCTACATACCTAGTCTGTTTATGCGAACTGCGTTTACAATCTGTGTTCAATTCTGACACGTCGTCTAGAATCTATGGATGATGTAGCAACTGTCTGATCGCCTGAACTTTTTGCTTCTACCTCTCAATTTGTTCTGTCTGTCTCGTTGACTCTTTGCCCCGTTCAGCCCTCGCATTTCCCCTTCCAAATGTTGCATTTGGGTCCCTTGACGTGAGTTTTGGGTGGGAGGTCCAGACTCCCACTCAAATTCGGGCCTTGGTCAACGCTCACCACTCACCCTCAAGGAGGGGGTGTTTTGCGTGAAGTATGCGTCACCTGAGCTTATTCTGAGCGTCACCTGAGCTGGGCTCGCGCGGGTTTATGATACGTCAATTGCTATTGAGATGCACGAAGAAAACTCCAAATTCCCAGACTCCCACTCAAATTCGGGCCTTGGTCAACGCTCACCACTCACCCTCAAGGAGGGGGTGTTTTGCGTGAAGTACGCGTCACCTGAGCTTATTCTGAGCGTCACCTGAGCTGGGCTCGAGCGGGTTTATGATACGTCAATTGCTATTGAGATGCACGAAGAAAACTCCAAATTCTCCGCTTTTGTGAGAGGTTTGGAGCCCTCCTGACAATAAGGAATAATTAACGAACGAAAACATTAAACGCGTATTCAAACCTTAATCTGAAAAATAGCAGAGAGTCGCGTCCGTATCGTAAACCTGGTCTAACTTTAAGTATCCTTAACAATCTGAGGTCGTTGAAAGTGTTGAATGTATCATAGTAACCGCATTCGTATTTTTATCATACATAACTTTTTAACAAAGTTTCAAACGACCTATGTTTATGTAACATTTTTTCTTATTTACATATATCTGTTGGATTATTTTTAACAACAGCCTGCAGAAATAGTCAAGTGAGGACAAAAATGTCTCCGCGTTCTTTTAGACAAAGACACTAAAACCTCCACCAGATGTGTCTGGTGTTCAAGCACTGCACACTGCGATACAATAGAGTAAACAGTTCCTAGCTATAAGCGGACCCCAACTTTCCCCTTTTGGGTGTCCAGAGGCAGTTCGTTAGAGCATTTGAAAGAGTGAAGACGTTTCCTCTGAGTCCGATAATAAATAGAATATTAACAGTTTGCAAAGACTATTTCATTTCCATAACCCATTTCCAATAATATCCACAAAGTATAGCGACAAAGTTTAATCGAAAGCCTGGAACACCATCTATATAATGAATACAATCGGTGGCCCACGCAGCCTGGAAAAGTCACGTGAAATTGGCGCGGCACTCAACGTATTAAACAATGTTATCTATTCTACATTACTTTTTTTTGTCACTTATTGCTTCTGCTTTTGACTTTACTACTTTTTTACTTTTCCTTTTCCTGTATTACCTTCGTGCATTTTTACGTTCACTGATACGATTGCAGAGTACACTCTTGTTTTATAATGGAACTACATGCATATGTACTTTTCCCTGTATAAATCGATTCCTTGGGTTAGGTGGTCAAAAACTAAATCATTCGGGAAATATTTCAACTTTCTTAATAAAACATATTTTTAAGCACTTCGAAACCATTTAAGCACTCCACCACATTCTAAACTTGGTTTTCAGTTATTTCGGCTATTTCATGAACATTGCGAATTGGCCGCACGGTATGTTTTACTAAGAATGTTAAAATATCTTATGAATTATTCAGTTTTCGATCATCTAACTGTAAATTTTATACGCAGGATAACCCAAGGAATCGATGTATGCAAAAAAAATTATATTACAAATTGCAATTAAATTAGGTATATATCATAAAATTATTTTATATTAAAAATTGTATTTCTGTTTTGTTATGTAGCACAAGAGTGCTCCTCTCTGCAATACACAACGGTCTCAACTTTTGGCCGAAACTGTGTATAATCATTGAATAAAATCACCATGAAAGTCGTTAAATATAACATCTATTTCCGACTAGATTCTATAAAATTTCCCAAGGTATTTTAGAGCCGTCAGCGTTTAATCGCTGGCCGCTTACCATTTTCCCGAATTACCCAGAAATATAATCCGCTAACTGTTTCGCACAGCGCGGTTAAGTAGCATCATCATCGAAATGATACTTGGCAATTACTCGAGCGGCGCAGGGATGCCGGAATGGCAATGCCACTTATTTATTGACAATCATCGTAACGGTGTCCAGCACGCAATCCGTGGAAAGCGTTACATAATTTCGTTGGCCGAAACTTCCGCGTTTAGATCGTATCTGTTTAGAGGAAATTTATTCCGACGTTTGACCTGCATTTCAACCAACCACCACGTCCTGCCAGCGAGCAACGATGACTGATACAGCGGGAACCTCGAAAAACGTGTCGTAGAAATCTTTTTCGGACATTTCTTTTTCTTCGCGCGTGTTTGTACGCCACGAGACGGCAGTTTTGGGATGCAAACGGTATACTGGCCATAAAATGTTTGGAATAAGAAATAATTTGTAATACCATGGATAGTTGGTCTAAGTATTAGATATCGTACACTTTCTTATTTTTGTGAAAAGTCTGGGTTACCGTTGGGATGAATGAATTGCATTAGGATACCTACTTGTTACATGCGGAGCAAACTTGAACAGTTATTACAAAATTATTTGATCTGGACTTTCGTAGGACAGTAAGTACATAATACGATAAATTTTCTAAATATCTATTTCCATTTAAGGTGCCGTCATGAAAATAACATCCCACTGATTGTGTCACGCGAAATTCAGTTTGAAAATGAGTTTGCTGTAGGTCGTTGAACTTGTCTCAGCAACCGCTTTCGTATAATATAAAAGGAATTATAGCTATCAATATAAAAAAATTCGCGAAAATTATTGTACTGAAAAGCTTTGTCCTCTTCTGTTTCTCTCAAAAATCTACCACTTGTGAGAAAAACACTGGAAATTAATAGCGCGAACACCCTATACCTATATGTACATATTTTTACTGATATATGACACTAACTCTGTCGAAGAAATGTAATTAAAATCATCTAATACTTTCTGTATGAACATAATAGGTGTCCCAATTCTTGCGAACGGCAATGCACGTAATAACTAAAGTTTCGGAACTTTGAGTTTAATAATTTATCGTGGTGGGACGAAAGACGATAAAAGAATCTCCCTCGGGTATACTAATGAAAATATATTTATTTAAAATTTTAAAAACGTTTAAAATTAAAACCAAACGTTTTTAGCAATCTGAGTCCAGAAACTTTTGTTACATACTATAATTTGGAATTTTGATAGTAATTCTGTTGATAAATTTTTGGTCGCGATAAAATTCAATGACGGTTTTGTTAGTAATTAATTAAGTTGAACACTAGTATTGATTAATAACGATCGAATGAATTCAATTCAGGTTTAATAACAAAGAAGGTATCTACGTCTACTGTTATCTTTGATAACAAACGAACTATTCTTGCTCCTGGTTTGGGTTATGGTCGAATTAGACCTGCTGTTAGTTTCGATAACAAACAATTCCTATTTGTACTTTCAACAATGATCGAATTTTATATTCTCTATTTCGCGAGCAAATAAATGATTCTCATTCTGATCTTTCAATAATACTTAGACTGAATTTTATTAATAATCATAACTGTCTATCTTTAATTTGACAATTAATTTCAGTAAAAAGTTATCATTCATGTATTTGATATTTATTTATCATTTCTCTCTTTCTTCCCATCGTTTATCATTTTAGATACAGATCTATGTACTTCAGATTTTTTATGTTTGTAAACAAAGTTTGCAGAATGTAATTATCGTAGATAATATTATTACACCTAATATTTTTCTCAAGATATCGCTTGTTGAAACATTCAACGAGTATTTAACACGATCGATTATCGAAAAAACAAGTTGATTGATGTTATCAACTTACATGTATCCTCAAATTGACTTTGGCTTATCTTGTTCAGCTTGACGTACTCCAAATCAAGCTTCGGAGAAGAGGATCTTCTGTTCGTGGATTCATCCTGCTTTTTTGGCAATTTCTCCGCTTGTGGTGTAACTGTAACAAAGAATTGAAAATTTTTAATTGGACAATTCTGCGAAAATTGAAGCACAACTTTAAATATGTAAATGATGTAACATCTTTATAATTGAGAAGCTTGAGAAGCTAATTCTTAATTCACAATTACAAAGAAGTTTGATTACTACATATTATAGTAAGAATAATAAGCAATCACGAAATGAGTTCCGAGAATAATAAAATTAAAGTAAAGCAAGTTCGGTCTAAAAAGCATAACTGAAATAATCATTAATGCTAAATTTACTTTCGAAATGCATCCATGCTCAATGTACAGCAAACAAACGCGTATTGCTCCAATGTCACGTTGCCTCTGAAATCACCTAACTCAAAGTCATTTCGTTTCGCATTCGTTCAGCATCTTAAGCACACCTTCGTAATGTTGGCTTCGAGACATACTGAACCTAACGTAGACCTCAAATAAAAGAGAAAAAAAAGCGGGAAAATAAAAACAAGTAAATAAATACAAATTTTGTAGCCCAGTAGCCTAATTACGAGAAGTGTGTATACATGCCTTCAAAAAGTGTAATTAGATTGATTCCTCGTGCAAAAATAAATCGAAAGTGAAAAATAAAATTTGTTTACGCGAACCCTCGAGTTTTCGAGAAAATTCGTGGAGTCAGTACGCCTAATTATGATAATTTGGTAAATATTAACAGATTACAACGATTATGAATAAAGTAGAACAGACGACAAATTACGATATTACTGAAATTAAAAATCACGAATACGAGCAGCAGAAGTAATTTATAGAAAAAATTAGGTTTGCATACTCGCTGAATTTTGAAAGTCTATTCTCTTCAAAAAGAACGCTTACATCAAAAATTATACGATTTTTCCTGACTCATCCTTTATATGTCTAATAAATTTGAATCAGTTATTAACATCCTGTTAAAAAAAATTCTTCTCAATTATGCCCTATACATTCCAATTGGTAATAATACATTCTTGTTGTTATTAATCTATAACTACGTAAATACTGAAATATTTATTATTTCTCTTTGTACCATATTCGTATCTTTAATTATACGCGCTAATTCGTGAAAAATATGGGCATTATAATTCTAAGGCATCCTTTATTCAAACGACACATTCCTTACTAAACTGACAAATCAATTAATTCTGGACATACAAAACATTCCACAGCTACGATAATTTAAAAGAAAACGAATTATGCAGGGTGTCCCGTAACTCCTCGAACACCCGGAAATGGGGCGTTGCTGGGGTGACTATGAACAACTTTTTCCTTTTCCAAAATACAGTTTGAAGCTTCGTTTTTGAATTATTAACGAAAAACACTGGCCAATTACAGCGCGCGTAGAGCCCGCGCTCAGGGGCGAAGAACAGAGGCTATTTTCAGACCTTCGCTATTTTCTTCACGATTCCGACTAATTGCAGTTTTTTCAAAAATTTATACAAATGTCGGAATGACGGCAAAAACCCATTTCTCTAAGCCTTATAAAAATAGCGGTGCAAAGTGACATTTTTTTGACAGCGATCAATAACCGAGAGGTGACGCGTACGCATTTGTTCGATCGCGCGCGGGTGAGCCTCTGTTCACCGTCCCTGAGCGCGAGCTCTACGCGCGCTCTGATTGGCCAGTGTTTTTCGTTAATAATTCAAAAATGAAGCTTCAGACAACATTTTGGTAAAGGAAAAAGTTGTTCAGAATCACCCCAGCAACCCCCCATTTCCGGGTGTTCGAGGAGTTACGGGACACCCTGTATAAACAAATACATTAGTTGGATGAAATACAAAATTTGACAAAAAATGCCACCTCTCTAACGTATGTACTTTTAAAGGTCTAAATTTTGTTCTTGGTATCACGTTATAATTTAAAGGATTAAACATCCTGATTCATCATTTTCCTTCAAAATGACTCACTTTTGATTCACTGAAAAGCCATCACTCGTACTGTTTACCAACCATCGCGACCTTAATTTCGATCGAGCGCCCATCGAGCTCGAGATAAGCGTGTGTATCGAGCGTCCTGTATTCTTCATGGTCGATAAAGAGGCCGTTGTCTTATCGTGGCCGATCCAGTATTAAGATAGCGCGATACAAATTTAAACGGGAATTTCGCGCGATAACCCTGCGCTTCTACACTAAAATTAAAATGAATCGCCGCCGGTGTATTTTTTTGCCAACACGCGCGATAAGCGGAGCAAGAAAGAATCCACGCGGACGTTGCGCAATCGAACTGCTTAGAATCGATTAACCGACCTTCTTCTCGCAGTATCGAGAAAAATCGAAATTCTTTCAGTACATCTCATCAACCTTCACCGTTATGAGTATGCACGCGGGGCACAGAGATTTCTAGCCGGTGGCTGGTTCCGTGACACTTCTGGTTAGTGGAATATCATTTGTCTACTGTTTCGTTACGTTGTAGTACAACAAATTTTTGTTACTATAAAAGGCTCTAATGATATTCTGAGTGGTGTACATAAAACCGACCTCAAACGCAAAATACAGATTTAAAATAATATTTCATGCAGAGATAAAAATACTGATAAACGTTTAAATCGTTAAAAATGAAAAGTTTTAAAAGTTAAAAAATTGTACATTGTACGATATATTATTATCAAAAAAATCTGTAAAATTGTATTTTACATTTCGGACTTATTTTATGTGCACCATCCGGCTAATGCCTGGCTTTCTTTGCGTGTTAACTGGCAAAAGGTAAAAAATTGGTGTTACCACTTTTTCAATATCTTGGAAGCATTTGTCTGCTTTTCGTTTTCTTTGAGAAAATGGAAATTTTTTGAATGTCTTTGAAAACATACTATGTCTAATCATACGTTTCTATTTTTATTTAAAAAAAAGTAGTATCTAGTCTTTTCCTGTCTCAGGAACTTTGCTCGTTCTTTTTCTAGATTTTATTTATCAATTAATTAGAACTTTACAGACAAATTCTTACGCCTTTTTTGTTTTTTAGAATTTATATTTTATTTTCAAACACTTTTGTATTTTGAAGTATATAGTTGAACTGCTGCGAAACAGTTGTGCGCACGAGAGCATTCGAAATTTTAATATTAACAGCATTAAACTTCGGATTGAAGCATCAATATTCGCTTTCTGATTTCATTACGTCGACACTCGAAAGACTCGAGTGGCCATGCGCATAAACGAAATACTATAAATAAACATTCGAGGATAGCTAACCTAAACCAATTGGTTCGATTCGCTGTTTCTTGTAACGCAACACGTTATTGAATCGCCGAGTTTATCCTGATCGCGCCAGTTCGTGCAGAAAAAATTGAGAAAAGCACAATTCAAGTATTTTCAGATCGACGTACAAGGGAACATATCGAACACACGCCAATTTTGATGAAATTTACATGAAAAGTAGTTTGCGGAAAAATATCTGACACGTATGTTTTTCCATCAGTATCTATTTGCCTATATCGAAGGGGTGAGAACAACTCTCAAAGTTGAGGGTTCAAAACAAATTTACTGAAATATCTCGAGAATTAGAGGACTCAGAAAAACAACTTTTCTGTTAAATTTTTCAATGGGGAATCCAACGACATAAAGTTTTTAAAGAAATAATTTGTTTAAATAGTGTATTAAAATTGAAAATTCGTTCATCGATTTTCGTGTAAATTTGTGTATGTGAACGATAGACCAAAATAAGTGGTACGTGTCTTTTTTATTTTTTATTTCTTACCGTATAAGAATAATTATTAGATGCACAGTTTTCTCTCAGTTTGTACAGAATAGAGTCTGTGAGCATGTATTGTAGAAGGTACCATACATTTTGCCAGTGTTTTGAGATGTTTCTCATATATTAGTAATATTAATTATCAAAATGTTTAGCGCATTCACCACTGTGACTCCGAAATCGACGAAATCGGTTATTTCTGGAGTGCGGATGTTTATGCAATTGTAACATATTAAAGTATGCAAAATACATGAGAGTAACGTTACAACCTTACTGACTATACTATGTTACATTCAACTATGGATCAGCGTTCTTGTTTGCACATATCAAGAGATCACATCACTCTCATGTATTTGCACATTTTGATGTGCTATAATTGCATAAGCAGCCCTATAACATTATAAACATACTATTTTTATAAAATATTGTAAAAAAGCCTAAATAAAATAATAAAATAAAACAGCTATGTTAGATTTATTTTTATGAGACTGTAGTCTAAGAGACTACACGTCTGTGATAACGTTTTAAAGACTCATGTTTGTATTGCCATTTAGATTAATTGTTCTGATATTTTTGAACATCCGAAAAAATAAAGTTTCTTAATCTAAAATCATTTATAAAATAAATAGGATGAATAAATTAGGCTACATATTTGTAGAACACCATGAAGCACATGGGACATTCTAATTTTGCTTAAAAGGTGAAAAACATGCGGAGCTCCAAATATTTCAAAACACCATGAAAAACGAAGAATTATTAGACAAGACATCTTATTGTTAGTTACGGATGGTAGTATAGCGTTAAATACGTTATATTTTGAAGAAACAAAATGTGATCAAAAATGCTTTATATGCATCAACCTACATTACCGGCCAAAAGTTTGGAATCACCTCCCACTTTTCATCAATATTAAATCTGCTGCTAATTTTTTATAGATTTGAAATTCAT